GACGAAAGTCTTTAATCAGTGCGTCCTACCCGTTATGACATACGGAGCCGAAACGTGGACACTGACGGCTCGGCTGGTCCACAAGTTGAAGGTCGCTCAGCGGGCTATGGAAAGGGCTATGCTCGGCGTTTCTCTGCGGGATCGAATAAAAAATGAGGTGATCCGGCAGAGAACCAAGGTTAGCGACATAGCCCACCGGATTAGCAAGCTGAAGTGGCAGTGGGCTGGCCATATTAGCCGCAGAACCGATAACCGTTGGAGTAAACGAGTTCTTGAGTGGAGACCGCGTCTCGGCAAACGTAGTGTAGGACGTCCTCAGGCGCGGTGGAGTGATGATTTGCGCAAGATGGCTGGCAGGAGCTGGATGCGAACAGCCGAAAATAGAAGTAGATGGCGTGCAATTGGGGAGGCCTATGTCCAGCAGTGGACGAATATGGGCTGATGATGATGACTACAACACAATGTGTTATTTCCCCTTACTCAGCCTATTTATGTGCTTTATTCATCCCGCAAATATTCAATTTAAGTTCTTTATTCATTCCATCAGTATTACTAGTTTATCCTTTTTCTAATCACCTAATAATTTTAGATTTCTGTGTTTTAAAACTAGTATATTCTTATTAATACATTTCATCAATTTTGCATTCACAATATATATGATATACTAAAAAATATTCTGAATGAAAATTGCTTAAAAATCCACTTCGTTTCTGGCATTTTGTGATGGGATTCGAATCCATGATGACCTTTTGCAATCCGGGCTACTTAGTTACCCAATACCTAACAGCAGTAACGAATTTTTTCAAGAACTTGTTTTTGTTTCAAAAATAAAACAAGCGCACTTTCATCAATGTTCAGGCAATCTACCCAAACGTAGTGTTCGGATATCGCTGCATTATAAACGGTTAATTCACAGTAAACAGCCGGGTATTAACTGTATTACTTACTCTGAACAGGTGTACCAGATAAAATATATTAATTTTACCGCTCTGTTAAAATTTATGCTACATTTAATGTTACTATTTACAGCAAAGGTACTTTATAGGTTAATTAATTACAAAACAAACATAGAAGAAAAGTGTAAACGTTCAAAGAAAATAAAACTATTATGAGACGTTCTATAAGTACATAGCATGGAATATAATAATATATTTGCCTTTAAAAAAGCCTTCAAATAATCCAATACAGAAGGAAATATAATTAAAGTTCTATATTATGTCAGTATAGACTTTTCGCACACTAATTTATACAAACAGTCTTTATTATATATGGTCACGATTATTATAGACCTGTGTAATTCCTTTTTATTCGGTTTTGATTACTATTTGTAGTTATGTACATCACATATATTACTCAGATTCGAAGATGAGTAGCAAAATCCCCTGTACCTATTATAGACTATCTGAGACATCACAGATACTACAACACCCGTACGCGAGATAATATAGAAAAATCAATTTTCTACATTGACCCGATCAGGATTTGAACCCGGGATCTCTGAGATGTCGACGCCTTGAAACCAGTATGCGAACCACTCATATGAACGAGATAGCCTGCCGCTTACGCAAACAGCTTAGGACTCTTCATTGTACATTATCTTCTTTCGCAGGATGCATTCTGTTTATTTTGTCCCTAAATTAGCTTTTAACGCTAAAGAAAACTTAAATATAAACTTTTTTGTGGTTTTCATCAACATCATTCGCTAGTCACAACTATGCAAAGCTCGCGGGCCCGGAATAAATTGATTCTTTCCCTGGAGCACCGACCGTTCTCCCGGTAAATTACTCACATTAACATCCCTCAGCGCGAACTTCAACCTAAACACTCGTGTCAATAAAAGTCATTTTCACGCTACACCTTTCGTGAAATACCTCATGCAATATTAAAGGAAATTGCACTGTAAACGTAACGTTGTATGGTCGTAATTACGATGTAAGTGGGTGTGCATAAAAAGACGCTTCTTAGCGCAGGTTTTTAGTTTTCCTTAGGGATCTTAAAGTTGGGGGAAGATATTCGAGATAGAAGCTCGCACTTACTCGGACTGTTTTATTGTTCTAGTTTATTTAGATTTAAATATCTTAAATAGAATATTACTAAATCTGTTGTACCTTGAACACTCTAAAAGCTCTTAAAGGTTAGAATTCTGGGCCGATCGTTGTAGTACCTGCCATCGTGGCGTTGTTTCTAATTTTCATACCATCAATATGTTAAAATAACTTTATAGATATAGTTTCTTTAAAGTAAACTAATCCCTTCCACCTTTTATATTATAAAGTGACAGTGAAATTAATATTAGTAATAATGAAGAAGTCACTCATCGTCATCATCACCAGCCTACTAACGTCCCCACTGTAGGTGTTCAGGCCTTCCCTACGGAGGGAAGGAATTGAATCAAATCGAATAGGGCGAGTGGTTGGGTACACCATACCACACGGGCATTTGTGGATTGATTGGACTGCAGATTTAGCCGGGATCAACGGTATAACGCGCCATCTGAAGCACGAACTCGGGAATAATAAATTTGCGGTCACCTATCCTAGACCTGCCCTTGCGAAAGTTGCTCAACAACTCTATCGATTATAGAGCGTACTAACCGAGCTCAAATTCACACAATTTCAAATTTACTTGTCCCTGCTCTAAGTCAAATTTTCGTACAACGATGTTGAAGTAATTAAATGAGTGTATATAATACTTTCTTACAAAAGCTTTATCACCGCGATGCAGCAACAAAACTTAATACAATTCGACACCGTTACGACGACATCTTGAAACATACCCCTCGTAGCGCCCGCCCGGCTACGAGACTACGAGGGTCGTACGCTACGGTTGTAGTCATCTGTGTCTTGTAGTGTTGTATCATGCATAAAATCAGTTCAACGTATCGTCGATTATTCTGTATCTTTATAAATATTAATAAAACGTTGATAAAATTATTTTTAACAATTGTCTTTAGCAGAAATTTCCTTATAACATATCTCATATCTTTTAACATTAAAATCGAAACGCGAAACACAGTAAAAGTAATTAACAAAACAATTATAAAAGCTAGTACATACATTTAATATAACAATATTTGACGAATTGGTTGATTAGATATTTAGATGCAAAAGTCAACGGTTGGGAATGTATAGTATCTATTTTTAATTTCATGTTCTAAAATATTTCTTGTTATTTTCGGAACCAAAGTAGGTTACTAGAAAGTCAAAGCGGTCACTTGATGAGCAGCGGATGACAAGTTGCCGATCCTCTTGGAATTGAATCATTTTAACTAATTATTTATCATGATCATCAGCCTTTTTACGCCTCTACAATAGGAGTTCAGTATATCCATATAGATATTAAAGAAGGGTGAGCCATAATCCTCCCAAGGTCCGAAGTATGGTGTAGCTTGACATAGTAGGGTTAACGACTGGGTAAAACAAGAAATTCTATTTAGTCTGTCTATCAGATAATAGAAAAATCAGTTTTCTTTTTTTACTTCTATTTAACAAGCAAAAGCTTATAAAACAGACATTAAAGTTGAAAATGTACAAAAGCGTGACGTCATTTAACTCGATGTATCTTCGTAATTTAATGATTAGGAGAAAAATACGTGTTTAATATTTTAAAACAATCTACCTGACGGACAAACAAAAGTTAGTGGTCATCCCTATTGTCAATAAAAAACCCTTGCGAATATTTATTAGCAATGGCCGCTGGTCGCGATGCTTATCCACTAATAACGATAGTAGGCGTTTATTTTGTTAACACATAACAACACAGTGTAAAACAAACAAAACAACTAACAGTTGAATATATACAATAATTAAAATGGTAATGTGTGCCATCAAAACTGGCTTCAGTTCAGTGTAAGCAAGGGGCATTCCCACTCTACGAGCTAATTATTATAGCCGTAGTATCGATATACTCCCATCCCTGTTCCTGTGCGGCACAGACACGTTAATATTAAGGGTGACCGCGCCATGGTCAACACTGACATTCTTGTAGCGACACTGTTTGGTTTCACTCCATTTATTATTTAATTATATCATTCTAACTTTAACCTGAACTTGAACCGATAAATAGCACATAATAATAATAATAATTACAACATTTAATAATGAAAAATAAACTTAATTATTTCTAAGTTAACTACTATAAAATGAACCCTGAATTGGAACCCTGGGTGGTATTATATAAAAATATTGTTACTAATGCAAAACGCTTGTAAGCCAGGAACAAGGCGGTATTATAATAATTTTTAACCGATCGAGACAGAAACATAAAATAACTGAAATTATTTTCTTACCTTAATAAATATAACGTTTATAAGATATATATACACAGATGCATATGACATAAACCCGAATATGAATTTCACTAGTTTTTTCTATTATGAATTAATTAATGCTTTATTTCGGTGCAATCATGAGACATACAATTTTAGTTTACATTTTGCATACTGCGACGTATCAATAATAATGACAATAGAAAATATAATTAATATAATATGTGATTGCTTTTCACGAGTGCACCAAAATTAGTTACCAATTCAGCTTATATGATTTTCAATGTGCACGTTTATATTATCCCCCTTTTCTACACAAGGATGTTATTCAAGATCAGTAATACAATACATAGATTTTTACTAATTTTTAAGAATATTTTCAGTTATCTACACATATTTTAAAAAGGTTTCCTGAATTGTAGCATCAGCCTTTCTCGTGTATCTTTATAGATTTATATTCTATAAAAAGTTTTAGATATTAATAACTTATTATTAATTCATTCCTCAATACAATAGAGATCCAAAAATTATTAACGCTTCCTTTTTTATTGTTAATTTCTCGTCCTTTAATGAACTAAAGGTGGTTTAATTTCTGTACATTAATTAATACATAAATAAAAAAGGCAGCAACGAACGCATGTAACCTTCATCTTGCAGTCACAAATCAGGGGCGCAATAATCGCGCAACGTTGATCGTTAACCTATATCGGAGTCCGCCCGCCCTACGGCATCTAGTCGCCGCCCGCCCTCGCGCCGCGCCGCACGCGTCCGCCACCAACAACCTATCAATTACATATCAACGCTTTTAGTGCTAAGGTCTAGTGCAACTAGTGTTCAGTGCTGTGAATAGAGGCGTATACTATTTATTAATTCGCACATTTATTTTTCAAATATACTTCTTTTTGCTAACCAGAAGCGAATATTCAGAAAATTTGTAAAAAAAATACAGTGATCTGGAAAAAATACAATTATATTTGTCAAAATTTAGATTGTAATCAAACAGGTGCTCAAACTTGTTGCTTTACAAGTTACATGTAATTTATTTATTTTAAACATTGTCGGAAAAGAAGTTGAAAAAGAGGTTAAAAGTAGGGAAGCAGATGCGAAATGAAACGATGGTAATTTTAAAAATGATATCGCATTAAATGTTTGTTAGACTTGTATACCATTAAGAAATAGACGTCTCGGTGCGTCTGCCAATAAGGCGTAGTGTAAACAAATAAAAATTTATGCGTGTCCGAGCGGACGGCGTCGGACGTATGTTATGGTAGTGAACGTGACGCGGTCAGTAGGTATACAGTGTGGAGAACGATGAATGTCATTGAAGTTATACATTGATTGATAGCTAGACAACAGAAACGACACAAGAAACTACAATTGTAATTTGTTTTAGTCACTTATTACGTTGAAATAACATGGTTATGGTTTTTGAGGAATGTATCACGGAAAAATGATAAAATAAATCTAGAAATTACCATACATTCTTTATTGTATAATTGGACCATATGATTATCAACTTCATATCTTTCCAACCCACTTTAAAATCGAACAGGAGGAGGTCATATGTTTGATGGCGATATATTAATATTCACCGACTTTTTCGTGCATTGTTGATCGATTTTTTAATTTTTATATTTGATAGATTTTTTATTCGACAGCTTAATGTCTCGAGGTGGAGCCATTTAAATTTTATCCATATCATTCTATAACAAAACAAAAATTTTTGTTATCAAATATCACCAAAATATTTAAATGAGAGGATTTTCTATGTTGAATTAGATATGTTCATATAATTCTTTTTGAATTGTGAACTAATTAGTATCAAAAAAGCTTTTGTGAATCTCTGTGCATGGATTTACCTGAATAAAATTGCCTATCATCATGCGGAATAATGTAAAAAGAAATTTCAAAAAGAAGTTTTTATCAGCAAACTGAAGTTAAAATTACATTGATATATTTAATTATTGTATTAAGTAATACAATACATCAGTTTATTATAAATACACATAAATCCTCATTAAAAGCGCCGAAGGTTGCGAAGTTAATATTTAATATTTTCTATATATCTATTGCATGATGTATTCTATTTTCCCCCGTAATGAACACCTTGGCGATGCCTCCTCAAATTTTTAAACTGTATTGCTCTAAATTAAATAGTATCTGGGGTCTAATATTAAAATTTATCGCAATCTCTTTCGATTTAACATTTGAAAGACACCCACTAACTTCATGCTAAAACTATATAACTATGCTACGACATGTGATCGCGCCAATTTTTTAAAGATATTGAAAGAATTATATCATTATGTCGATATTATCTGTCCGAGAAAGCAGTTATTAAATAAGGACTGGGTTTGTCCTGGTTGCACAAAAAGTGTTCAGAGGGGTGACATTAGCCATACACCTGTGAGAGGCTTGGGCGTCACTCATTCAGCGACAAAATCATTATCCCAGTTGTATCAGGCGATCTATCTGGTAGTAAAGAGGATGGACGAGATAGGGAGATTTCCGAATTTGTAAACTATATGATCATATATGATTACACATCAGTGTGTTGCCAAATAAAAACCTATTCTATTCTATTCTATTCTATTATTGCAATTGTCTAAGCAAAGTGATGCTTGAAAGCTATTGATAAATGTCTATCTATTCTATTCTTTTATTCTATTCTATTATCTATTCTATTCTATTATTGCAATTTTCTAAGCAAAGTGAAAGCTATTGATAAATGTCAAACGGATAACTTGAATCCTAATTGAAATTTAAGGTTAAACTATTTTTTTTCGGAGTCATGATCACATAATAATGTAACTTTTATAATAGCAATTTCTTTTGGAACCGCTATCATAATCGCCGTAATTTTTAAAGGGATTGCAATAGATTTTCAAATTGGATAGTTAGCCCTCTGGTACGGTCTAGATCATAACTCATCCGGGTATCCTCCGGCTAAGGCAGCACCGTCGTCAGCCTGGATGAGGCCGCCTGTCCCAGGGGACATCTTGTACACTATGATTTATGAAGAAAGAAATTGTGTAATATCCTCAATCTTAGATACAGTTTTGTTTTTAACTTGATTTTTCTATTGTTGTGCTTATATATTTATCATAAATTCACGACTCTCATCCATATTACCAAGGGAAAATGCTATCTGACTTTCTGTATGCTCGCAACTGGGCTCCATTACATCTTGACTGTGACATTTTTGCGTAAAATGGTCAATATTGGCGTTTTTGAACGCGGAATTAGAAATATTTTGACAATAATGACTTATTGAATACTGTAGAATAACTATAGGCATCATGGATAGTCATCGCTTTTGTGCTTTTTCCTTAAATTTTTAATGCAACCCTTATTTTTATAAAATGCGCGATGGAAATTTAATATATAATAATAAATATAGAAATAAAATCACAGCTTAAACCAATAAACTTTCAAAATGGCTTGAAGATAACATTTTTTTTTCTATTTAGGATATATTATTTTTTTAAACAACTTTTACCAGAAAAATCATCAATTTATAATGAAATAAAGATTGCATAAGTTTCAAGCCCAAATTTACCGTTCTATTTTAATAAAAACGATAATTATAACTGCAACATTTATTTGGCCGCTTAGCAAGATTATTTTAACGAGTCACTATACTGATAATGTCTTCGTATACCTTGAAATATTCCCTTATATATATAACGAAGGCATTGTAAATGACATACATTTGTCGTCAACGAATAATCTCTTTTCTCCGATACAATTAGTTAAACCACCGGTCGATTATATAAACTTCCTATGGTATAAAGAAATAAAAGCTTATAAATTGCTCTTTCATAAATATACGTATATAGTTTTTCTAAGTATAAATTTATTGGTATGTAATTGAATCCGTGAACTGACGTCAACTCATAACTAACAAGCAACCCCACATGGGTATTTAATAACCATTTCAAAAATAATTTAATTGTTCCGTTTTTATTTTTAAAATCTAACAGTTTTTCTCCGGCTTTGCCCGCCTAAGTTATAGCATATATCACCCGCATATGATGTGGCATCGCGTAAAAGAATTTAATAAATTGGTTCATTACTTTTGAATTCTATTCGTTGCAAACATTCAAATCTTTCCTCTTTATAAAAATATATATATTAATATTATTATATATAGAACACATGGTTAAGGTATGTGAATCGATCAGACACATCATACTTTATAAGGAATAATATCCGTAGTCCGGATATTGCCACTACTTCACACGGATCTACAACTGATCCAGTTTCATATATAGAAATGTTATCTAAATATCTATCCGGGGTTATATTTTATTTAGTAGATATTTTCCTACGGTATATTGTTAACAGAACATACATATTTGCGAAGAAAAAAATTGTACTGCAATTTTTAAAGTAAATTCCAAGGCATAAAAGGAATTAAATTTAAAACTTATATTTAAAGTATAATGGCTAATCTATAATCAGCAATTTTATATCGCTTAAAGGGATAACAATGCCTAGAAAAACCAGGCCAAAACAGGGCACGCGGGTCCAACTCGTATTAGTGAGTATTAACGACTGCAAGATTTAGAGGGTACCATAATCTTAAGCTTAGAGGGGCTCGAGTTAAATAAATAATTGGTCATGTTCAGTACCATCGTGAAGATTGCTTGTTATCGAGCTGTACTATGAACTAAATATCATATATTTGTGTAGTTTAAATATATATTTGACGGTGGGTGGACCGTGAGCGTGGCGGTCGTCGCCTGTCACTCATTTGCCACAGGCGGCCCCATAAATACAGTTGACAAGTTGAAATTACTTAAAACGGTCCGTTGTTACTTTAATGCCGTGAACTATTATAATAAATTGATTTCTTTTCTTGTTAACTGTTTTATAAAATTGATATATCTATGCCTGTTAGGTTACAACTGTATTGGATACATTTTTTATATAAATATATCTAAATCCATAAAAAACAACATAGTAATATCTATACTAATATACTAATATTATAAAGCTGAAGAGTTTGTTTGTTTGTTTGAACGCGCTAATCTCAGGAACTACTGGTTCGAATCGAAAAAATATTTTTGTGTTGAATAGACCATTTATCGAGGAAGGTTTTAGGCTATGTAACATCACGCTGCAACTATTAGGAGCGAAGAAATAATGGAAAAGGCGGACGAAGTCTCTGGCGACCACTAGCTTACGATATACGTCATTTATTTAAAAAAAAATTATATACAGCCCGTTGCATAAAAGACCATTAAAATTGACATCACCGATACAAATATGATAGGTATTCATTTAAGCATAAAAGCATTATTAAGCCTTAATGGACGTTTGTGCAGATGACCGAAAGTCCGTCAGTCAAATAATGAAAAGATTAGCTACGTATTTTTTTTGCTTCAATTGAACTAGAAGTGGCTTAGATAATAGTCATTAAAGTTAAGGAGTGGGGTTCGTTACGTCACAACCACGTAAGGCGATAGATTTCGATAGTTAGGTTTTTCACCTACCTATATTTCCCAACGTTGGGGTTTTCCCCCGTAGGTAGGTGAAAAACCTAACTATCGAAATATATCGCGTTAATGCCCGTTGTATATAATCAAATATAATGCAACGCGAAAGTTTCAAAGTTTATAATGTAATTCCTGTTATTAATGCAAACTAAAAAAAAATTGTCACTAGAATTGTAATAGAATTTCTCACCTGATATCCTCAAAAAAGTTTTGATGTTATTATAATCTGGTTTTTGGAGATTTTATCTTTTGATGTTGGTGTCTCAGATGTATGCTTAGTAAGCTAACCAGTGGTCCATATTCACATTGAAGAGG